TACTAAAAATAAAAAAATTAGCCAGGCATGGTGGTACATCCTAGTAACCCCAGCTACTCAGGAGGCTGAGACAGGAGAATCACTTAAACCAGGGTGTCGGAGGTTGCAGTGAGCCAAGATCGCACCACTGCACTCCAGCCTGGCAACAGAGTGAGCCACCATCTCAAAAAAGAAAAGGTATATGGAGTTTATAATACAGAATTCTCCATTTGGAAAATAAAAAAAGTTAATAAAGACTTGATGAAAACTTCTTAGTTGGCATAAATAAGCAGCAAAGACATCTGTACAGCTCTACTGATTAAGATTTTTTTTTAATGAGTGAAAAATGTTTCAGAATTTCCAAAAAAAAAAAAAAAAAAAAAAAAAAAAGCAGCATAAGTTTTTAAAGTTTCTCCAAAGTAGCTACTGGGTGTGGAAAATATGACCCTAGACTTTCTTCAGCTTTTCATTTTCCTTTTCTTTGCCTAGGACTGCCAAACATACACTTTCTATTTCCTAGTACTTCTAATGTTTTGGTTAGTACTTAATTAAACATATTTTAAAAATAACATCCTCTTTTATTCTTCAGGACCTAAATATATTTCCATTCATCCTACATTACTTTTCTCTCGATGAAGATTTTTTAGACAATATTTCATAAGTGCATTCTTGGTAAATGGAGGTTTATTACTAGCTATTTATAAGTAATTAACCCTGTGTTTTGCAGAGTTTTCAGATGAAGTAAAAGGATTTTTTTAATGAACTAACAAAATGTGGACTGGAGATATCTTGCCTTGTTAGATATTTGCATGATCTACTTGAATAATCAGAAAGGAACATTAAGTCCTCTAAAGTCTAATCTAGGCCTAAGCACCTCTTGGATCTCTGCTCATACTAATTAGACTCTTATTTATTCAGTCTTCACCAGAATACTGCCCCTATTAAACCCACCTTCAGGCCAGGTGCGGTGGCTCACACTTGTAATCCCAGCACTTTGGGAGGCCAAGGTAGGCGGCTTGCCTGAGGTCAGGAGTTCGAGAAACCCCATCTCTACTAAAAATACAAAAACATTAGCCAGGCATGGTGGTGCGCACCTGTAATCCCAGCTATTTGGGAGGTTGAGGCAGGGAAACTGCTTGAACCAGGGAGGTGGAGGTTGCAGTGAGCCAAGATCATGCCACTGTACTCCAGCCTGGGCGACAGAACGAGACTCTGTCTCAAAAAAAGAAAAACAAATAAAAAATAAACTCACCCTCATTTTAGAATTTTCAATTGCTTATTTTTATTTCAATTTCTTATTTTAAAAATAAGAAATTCAAAAATAGGCCACTTGTATAAGGTAGAGAATAGTGATGAAAAACAAAGATTAGGTAAAATAGTCTTGATGTGAATTTCAACCTTGCTACTTACTAACTGTACAAGTTCAAGCAAATTAAGTTCTCTAAGTCCGAGTTTCCTATAAAATGGAAGAGAATTCCAGTACCTACAACTTGTACAGTTGCTGCAAAGATTAAATGTTACGCATATAAATTGCATAGCACAGTGCCTGACACCCAGTAAATGTTCAATAAAGGTTAGCAAGTATGGTAACAATAACGATTTCCCATTTGCACAGTCTTTTATTTTCATTTTCCCCCAACTCTAGTGCCTGCCATCACCTGCCAAGCCTGATAAAGGTGAGGGTATATAAAAATTATAATCTTAAAGCAGGAGAACCAATATAGTAGACCAAAACTCACCCCGCTCCTCTCCTTTTAATATGAACGGTCAACATTCATCCCTAGTCACTTGTATATCAAGTTAAGGAAGAATGCAAAGAAGCAGAAGAAAGACGCTCGTATAAATGTAAGTGGTTTTTTTTGGCAGCAAGAACATATTGGATGTAAGTTACAGGGCATGAGGAAGAACAAAAAAGCTGGGGAAACAGCTAGAAGAAAGCAGGAGGCGGTGATCTAAAAAAGAGCAAGAGAAATAAAAAGACTGGAAGGAGAATTTTAGGCAAAAGAATTTATGTAGATCTATGTCAAAAAGAGGGTATATTTTAAGATGTGAGGAAAATGAGATTTGCTGAAGCAGGGTAGCTTAAAAGACTACAAATGAAGTGCAAAGCATTTTGCTGGTTATAAGAAGCATATTACATATAAGTAAGCTAACAAAATTTTCACAGATGAGCAGCATTAAAAGGTATCTGCAAGGTTGGGCTAACCAACCAAAAATAACACAGAAATTTGCATGTTAACATTTATGTGCATAGCTAAATTTATTAATCCTTAATATATTTAAGAGGTATTAAAAATCTATTCACTTGTCAATATAAGCCATTATTAAGGCTTGCTCCTTCAAAGATCTAATCTATAGACCAATGAAAATTCATTAGTTTGCTTAGGTTTCTAATCAAGTCTACATTTTAGAATTTCCCTATTATTTCCTTTTCTAATAAAGGATTTCCCTAAGCTAGAACTACAATCTTTTTATGCTATGTTGCCCAGGCTAGGGTACAGTGGCTATTCACAGGCACAATCACAGCACATTACAGCCTCTAACTTTTGAGCTGAAGTGATCCTCCTGCTATCCTCATGAGTAGTTGGGACTATAAAGGCACACCACTGTGCCTGACTAGGACTATAAAGAGAGGTGTTTTTCTGGAATCTAAAATAAATTTAAAAATCAAAAATAGTTTTCTAAAAAAGAAATGGGATTAAGGTAGACTCAAAATTTCACACCTCTTGGGATAATTTTTTTTTCCCCAAATTAAGTTAACAAGAGCCAAAGGAAAAAGATTATCGTGCTTAGAATTATATCTAACAGTTTACAAGTTGCTGAAATTTATTCAGAAATGTATTCAGACTCAACTGCACCTTACCAAAGAAAGTTATAAATATGATCTGAATTAACACCAGTTTGGTGGGGAAAAAAAAGTGTATTGTAGCAAACAGACTTGCTGTGATATCTGTTCAAACATACCTGTACCAGTCAAAAGTCCAGCACTCTTCTTTCGTGCATAAGCGCGTAAGTGGTTGGACAGGCTAACAGCACTTGTAAACGTCGTATTGCAATGCACACATGTTCTAAGCTTCACAGGCATACCTATCATTCAAAAGAAAACTATAATCCAGTTCTCACTTCAAGAAGTGAAATTTTCTTAGCTTAAAGAGTGTAGAAAAGCACCACAATAAAGATGGTTTTAAAAACGTTCAATGAAATAGGTTAACTTAAAATAAGGTGGGGAAATTAACTGTTATTAGTTTGTAGTTAGTATTTAGAGCCATCTCATGCTCTTTGGAAAGGTGGAAGAGGAGTGACTTAAACCTCTGAGCTCCTCTGGATATAACACCTATTATCACTTTCTTGCAGATTTCTGTGTTACGCAGATTATTTCTTAAACCTACTAAAATGCAATCCTGCGATTTGAACACCACGGTTCAGTTGAGAAGTTTCAAAGCTTACAACATTACCAATAAAAAGAATTTAAAAGTCTAGTTGACAAAGTGGTAATTAAAGTGTTTTACCCACAAAACCGTAAAAGTCTCAATACTAAATTAGGCTTTCTGATGAAGGCTGGGAGAAAAGGTGGTAAAACACACCACTGAACAGCTGTTTGACACAACATTTTATTCAGGGTATTTTATGTTCATTACTCTGAATGCGCAATCAATAATGAAAGTTAATGATCTGAAGTTTTTTGCTAAAATCTTTGTGCTAAATAATCAACAAGCTAACATCTTAGTCATCACAGGAAAGACAACATGTTCAAACAATAAGAAACTCATAACTTCTCAGACAATCCTCACTCCCCCAACACGTTTCAATTGATTCCTTCAGCATTACTGTGACAGCCACAAATACGCTTTCCATCTCTGAAGTATACTACGCCTTGGTCAACACAGCTAACACATCATCCCTGCGTTTTATCCTCCTGAAAGAACACTGAAAGCTAATGACTTTCAGAGACTCTTTACTCGAAAGAAATAAACAGAACCTCATATAAGATAAATTGTTTTCCAGACCACTTACAATACAAAGTAATCTTTCCTTAAGTCAAAATTGCATTGCAACTATTTGGGATATGACAGTGTCTGCCCCAAAGCAAATAAACAACATTACAGTCATTTTATTTGTTATTAATCCATTTACTATTACCTCAGACACATTCAACTTACATCTCTAATGAGACCATTTACATAAACCTTCAACATTCTTAATCTTCAAAAAGGAATCTAGAAAAGACACTTAAAATTTTTCTAGTCTAAAAGTATAAACCAGACTTGGCAATAATGAATAAAGTTTGGCTATTTTACCTGCCACATTATTTGCCAATACATACAAAATATTCCTTCCCAAAGGAAAAACTATTGGTGTACAAGCACTAAGCTAAATTATCTGTTCTGTTCCATTAGAGCACTATTTTAAAACCTAAAACCCCAAACAAATATGTTTTATGTTCATAACTGTTCTCCAAAACCAAACTATCCCACAATACAATAAGGAATTGGAGAAGGAGATGCTTCTTTAGGTTAATCACAACAGACACCAATCCATTCAGCTTTAAGAGTCTGTTTTGTTTCAACTAAGCAGTGGAAAAACCAACAGCTAAATCTTGAAAACATGATCACCTTGGAGCACTGGCAAAAATATACGACAGAAGTATGCCTTTTCAGTAACACTGTGCTTTCGAACACCAACCTCCCATTCACAATCATCCTCCAGCCACAGCAAATTTTATTTTTACAGATCAGCTTTTTGTTTGTTGTTTTTGTGTGTGTGTATGTGTGTGGTTTTCTTTTGCTTTTGTTCTCACCTTACATTCAGACCAAGAAAAGAGGCACAGAGAACTCAGTGCTAAGGAACCTCAACTGATGAGTTATACAGAAATGACAGAATAACCAATCTGTGCTCTGTAAAAAAAAAAGCAGCTTAAGCGAGAAGATTCTGAGAAAGAATTTTCCACATATATTCCATTAAAGAAGGCATAATTGAATGCATTTAAACTGTGTATAGTATAGTCATAAACATCTTCTTACCTGAGTGCATAGTCAAATCCATTTTTTGTGGCTGATACATCAACGGACTATCTTCATTTAATGGAAGAACGCATTTCTGAACGAATCTCTTTCTTGCTGTCTGATTATGGATCTTTTGAGGAGAAATGGCAGAATTCCTTTCTTCTCCCATCCTTTTATTTTTAAGAAGTTCTATGAGTGTAAGAGACTGATTCTTTTTTCCACTGGGCAGTTCTGGTTTTGTTTCATCATACTCATTTAAGAAATTCAGCCCTTCTTCTTCTGATGCAGACACTGACAGGGCTTCAGTCTTTAGGCCATTTCGGTATGCTTCAAGAGGTAAAACATTTTGAGATATAAAGTCATCACTTGATGCAAGTTTTTGAGCTACAAATGGTCTGGGAATAATACGACGACTGTTCAATGCCTTTAAGATTTTTTCATATTTTTCTTCATTTTGCATCATCTCATTCAGAACACAGATTGGAGATTTGTGAGCATCCCATTTGGTCTTTCCAAGTCTTTTCAAGTGGCCTCTAACATGATTTGATAATCCAATTTTAGTATCAAACCAACCACCACAGAGCTGACAAGTGTGTTCAGAAGTGGTCTCAGACTTCTCCATAGCTAAAAAAAAAATTTTTAAGAGTAACATCAGAATATCTTAAATAAACTCACCACCCTAAAATGAGTTAATTCTGAAACATAAAATTATATGGTTCTAATAAAGTCCAAATTCAAACAAAACTTTGAAATCCTCTGAATTACAACACAGATCTATTAGCCCAAATCATTCCCATGGAGAACTTACCTTTTCTAACTCGCTTAACAGGTGTTCCTGTGCCAGTTCTCTTGAAATGCTGCATTTTATCACTTGTGGCTATTTGTTCTGGTGATACAACATGACGGGCTTCATAGCTTAATCCTGCTCTGTGAAGATGCCCCCGGACATGATTTGATAACCCAACACCTGTTTCAAATGTTGCTGGACAGTAAGGACATGATTTCTTCTCAAGAGACAAATCAGCCCAATGAAAAACAGAACTATGCTTTGACAATGAAGTTTCTGCATTTTCTAAATGCTGAGGATCATGTATCTCATGCAAAAAGTTGTTACTTCCAGCATCTTCATAATATTCAAAATAAAAGCCATCATTTTGGTCATAACTAAGAGAAGCATTTTCTCCAGGCTCCTGACCTTCCACTTTGCTCTTAAATAGAGGGAATAAATTTACATGTTCTTGATTAATATCACTGTAGGTTTCATCTTCTATGGCCTGTGTAGTGTAGTCTCCTAACTCAACATTATCCCAGGAACTTTCATCTTCTGTTTCATAACTATCCTTCTTTTCAGCAGAATTAAGTTTTTGCAAAACAACAACAGTCATTTTATGCAAAAAATCTGGATAGCTATCCAAGTCTTCCCCTCCAACGGAACTTTCTTTCTTAGATTCCTTAACTACTCTCTTTACAGCTACACGTCTGTGATCTTTGAAGCTTTCAGGCCTTTTGGTGTCAGGCTTATGAGGATCTGAAATAAAATTGTTGTGAGAATTACTTGATGATGAAAACAGGTGTAAAGAATTTAATGAACTAGCTTCTTCTTTTTTGAAATGCACAGGGTATGATTCACCTGATTTTTTGATCATCCTGTAATTTTCATATTTGTGTCTATACAAATAGTTGCTATTTGCCTTGGCATTAGATTTTTCTTTTGCTGCTTGATGGAAATACTTGGGTTTTTGGTCAATGCTGCTTTTAACTGTAACAGTCTTATGGGGAGAGTTGTTTTGATTGCACATGTTTACACCTGACTGGGCAATGCTTTTCCGAGCTTTCTGTATTCTGTGTGGCCGCTTATGGATTTTTGAAAAACTACTTGATTGTGAGGTTGATCCAAATGTTCGCTTCACGTCTTGTTTTAAAGCAGAGTTCTTTGGAAATGTAGTTGACTGTTGTTTACTTAACGGTTTAGTGCTATCACTATCTACAGGTTCTTCAAGGATGTCATTTTTTCTTTTATCAAGTCCAAGAGGACTACCAAATGAATCAACGCATGATGATGAATGCAAGTACTCCATGTGCTTTTTTAAAACACTTCTGGCTGAAGTAGTAAAAGGACACATCTTACATACATAGGTAGCCGATTTTTTGGACGATCCTACTACGGAGTCTTTCATGAAAGTCTTTTTTTGTGTTTTTCTCTGGGCTATATCAGAAGTGACCATAGGGCATTTTACCACTGCCCCATGTGCAACGCCTCGATGGCATTCTAATTCATTTTCTGTCACTGCCATGAAGTTACACTCTTCACAGCAGTAGTACCTTTTATCTTTTTCATGGGTTTTAGCATGTTGCACAAATGTTTTAGGGCAATTGGTACCAAACACACACTGAGGACACTGTAATCGTGCACTTCTTCCTTCATCCTGAAGTTCTTTCAATTCACGAATTTCCTCCATCAACTTCTGTCTTCTCTCTTGGTGAATAATCATATGTTTTAGAAGTGAATTGCGATCTCGAAATGTCCGTCCACATTCTCTACAAGCATATGGCCTTGGGACATTAAGATGGCGAAAATGACTATTCCCATCTAAATGATACATCATATGCCTGTGGAGGTGCTTCTTCTCCCTAAAATTCACATTGCACTTTGTACAGGGGTAGAATGATGGCTCTTCAGTACTGAAAGTAGCAGGTGACTCAGAATCACTCTCTTCACATTTCTTTTTTAAGGTATTCGAAAGAAAAGTGCTAGTATGAACAGGTGAACTCTCTTCTCCACATTTATCTGGAGTATAAATTAGATGTTGAAAAGCATCCACAGATTCTAAGTCTTCATCAGTCGATTCAGGCTTCACTTTTGATAATGCATATTTCTGTGAGTCCACAGCTTGCAGCTCTTCATTCTGTTCTAGAAAGTCTACTTCTTGCATTTTTGATTTATTAGGTACACAATTAGAATCACTAAAGCAATCCTCGGTATAACGAGTTATCTTACTTACATCCATTTTTCGCTTTCTTTTTTTTTCTAGACCTACTTTAGAATGAGGTGGAGCTTTATCTACTGTTTCCTCATTAGTCATAAGAAACTGAATGAACTCTTTTTGGGGATCCCAGTTTGTATCATTTTCTGACCTAAATCCATCTGTACCTGAGGAAATTCCTGTTAATGTATTGACACAATCATCTTTTACCAATACATCTTCACTATCCTCACCCACCTCTACTTGATTTATTAAAGTGCTATCTGACTTTATATTACTCCCTACTGAATTCTGAATGTCACAACCAACCGAAGCAGAGGTAGGTAGTTTTTTATTGGAATGGGTGGGATTCTTAGCATGTGCTACATCTGATAACAAAAATAAAACTTGGTGTTGGCTTGCTTTCTGTGTAGACAGCTGAAGATCAGCTGCTACCTTCAAAGTTGAACAAGATTCCGTTGTTGGCTGATCCACAGGCTGTCCAGTGGTTAATGAAACACTGCCTTTATTCATATTGGAAGTCTTAGTTAAGGAGGAGTGTGAAACTGGTCCATTAACAGCAGCTCCTTTAGGCAAGATAAAGTTTTCACTAGAAACAGTAGGAGAACCAGCATGTATAAACAGACTAGACTGGCCTCCACTTAAGGCGTTTTCAGATTTGTCCTTTGACAGTTCTTCAGGCAGAATCAATGTATTATTTTTCTGAAATGATGTTTGACAATCTTTTGGTTTATGAACTCCGCTCTCTTTGTCTGAGATAAAATTGTTGTCATCTAGGAGTTCTTCTTTAGCACCAGTAATATCGGTGTTTATCTTCAAATCATCCATATTGTTGGCAAGCCCATTTAACACATTTAGTCTAGAAAATGGAAAAAAGAAATTTAGATTTGCATGAAAGAAAAAATACTATTTGAATGTATGGAGAGTTGAAAGTACATATTTTTATTAGTTTAATTTTCTATTCTTTATATTGAGATCCTAATAATTTTCCAAGACTGAAAGAACACAAACAATGAAATATTTAAGAAGCATCTCAAAGGCTAATTCATTCTTCATGCTAGGCAATGACAACAATCCAATACGTCATATGCACAAAATGTCTAGAGAAAAGCAGCATACACACACACACTAGGGAAAAGCAACATACACAGGCACGCGCGCGCGTGCACACACACACACACACACACAAACACAATGTAAATATGCTACAGACTGAACAAATTTTAAACCTCGTAGAGATGGCTAATACAAAGAAAATTCTTTGACTTAAAAAGCAGTCACTCTACTCTAGAGAATAATTTAAACTATCAATATTGCAGAGAAGTAAAAGATTTGTCACTTAAAAGTTCATTTCTGAAGGAAGGTAACAAAACACTATTTGGTAAACAACTTTATTTGAACGAACATATCTGCTATCACCATCAGTGTTTTATGTATGAAACAGTACTTTTTAAAACACTGCTTTGCTCTCAAGATGCTTAATACTCTCCTAACATTCTATCAATTGTAAATATGCTTTATTCATAGATTGGTTCGCTCCTTATTCAAGTTAACCTTAACCATAATTTTAACTTTAGTAAAGTTAACTAAATTTTAGTAAATTTTAACTTTACTAAAGTTAAAATTAATGAAGTTTCATGTCAAACTTTCATATGTGAGGCTCCAAATTATAGGCATTCTCTAAAAGCAGTTATCACATTTACAACCTGGTAGTCAAATGTAATGGCCTAACACATTTTACAATAAAATAGTGTAAACATATGTTTTAAATTTATTTCATATAAAATGTAGATAAAACTTTTCTAGGCATTTTTGGTAAGGTATTTAATAATTATGAGAAAACAGTACAATATTTTAAAGGAAAGAGTATTTCTGAATGTTTGGGATCCATTCATACCATGACTGTAATGACTGCCCCTACTATGAAAAGTTCCCTTGCACTCTGTTGATCTTTTCCTGTTCTTAGAAATGGCCACAGTGGAAGTGTCTAACTTCTTCAAAGAATGTCAGCTCCTTGAGGGCTAGGAATACAACCTAGTCACTATCATATCTCTAGAACCTAGTACATCACTTGGCATATGTGCTCAGGCAATATTTGTTAAGTAAAAGAAATGAAAAAGTATTGGAATAATAAAAACACAATTTCAAAATCAAAGTAAAAGTTCCTAAAGTGTAAGAAGAGTTTTGATCCTATGAAATTTGGATACCCTGTTCAAATACAAGTTCCATCAGGTTCTGATTTATTAACTCAGTAATTATAATAAAGTCCTCAAAATATCCAGTAACACTCATGTACAACTGAATGAACCTGCTATCTGGTAACCCCAGGTATTAACTAATTGAAGAATTGGCATAAGCTTCCATATTTCTTTTCCTTTTTTGTACTTTATTCATTCTCCAAATATTTACTAAGTACTTAGTTGTGGCATACACTGATCCTGTATTATGGATATAATGGTAAACAAGACAGGTTAGGTTCCTTCTCTCAGATAAAGAATGAAGCCTTTACATTTTTCTTTTATAGTATTTTTAATTTGCATAACAAGTAATACTATTTTAGGGCAATAGGACCTTACAATCTAAAACATTTAGAAATCAAAACCTCTTCAATGAAGTTCAGTATTTCTACCATCCTTTAAGGGTACCAATTTCATGCTTTGTAAAACAGTATATCTAATTCAAGATAATAAAACTGTTCTTACCTTTTCCTTATTTTATAACTTAAAACAAGCACTTATAATCTGATCTTATTCTTTCCACAAAATGTGTTCTTTAATAAAACAAATATCTATTACTGTATCTTTGACATTGTTATTTATACCAACAATCATTTTTCCATCCCTCATAGGTTTTAGAATTCTGTTTTGAGATTGGCAAACTTCTGTGGTAATAAAAATAGACTTCCAATAAGATCACGTTCAATGGTATCACTCCAAAATGGTGCTAATGCATCACCCAGCAGGAGTCTCTACATCACATACACAGAAGTTAAAAATGGGCAGCACATAAACATGTGTTAGGAAATGGTGTGCAAATGTCAAGGGAAAGAAAAGCAAGCCTTAATGCTACACTATTATTCATTCCTGATATTTCTCATTAAATTAGGTAGAAAATGTAAAATGCTTCAATAGCAACAATCTCATAAATCTGAAATGAACGACAAAAAAAACTAGCCTGAAAGACAGTTACTTTCCTTTCCATTTCCACTTATTATAATCACAGAGGTAGACAAATATATGCTCAGTCAATTTGAAAGCCTATATTAGTTTTTCTCAACAGGAAGCAATGTTGCTAACGAAGTGGTAAATTCAGTGTTAATGAGTGGCTTCACTGTTACCACCTCAGAGGTAAAACCTTCCATGTTCTATGTTCCACCCATCTGTCCTGGTGTTAGAGGTTTAGAGATGGAACAGACGCTTCCCATTTAAAGCAACTTCATTGGTACCCCCTGAACAGCAGGGTGACAAACTATGAGAACATCATATCAGCTTGCAGACTGCATCCTCATTACCAGAACAGCTTTATAGAGCTTTTTGTAAGTTTGCATTCTGAAGATATCAAACTGTTCTGCTCAAAAACATAAAAAAAATACATGTGCATAACAGTTATTTTATCTACAAAACACATCTAACAAAAAAAAATCAGATTAAATATTATTAAAATATAAAATGAAGTCTTCAACAATGAAAGTTTTCCTTCACATCCACATAATAGAACACGGCTCACTTACCCCCAAATTAATAATTTTCTCTACCCAAAAATAAAAGACATTATCTTCTGCATCTATAAAAGTTGACTCAGCAAGGAAGCTTTCTAGGTCACTCAGTAATTCAGATTAGATACAATCTTCCTGTCATCAAATCTATACTGTCCACTTTCTGTTCATGAATAATGCTTTACTGGAGAAAATTAGCTTAATTTTGTTCCTTTATGTATATTATTAACTGTATTTACTAAAAGTAGGTTAATGTTGTGTGGGTACCTACTTTAGGAACAATTAAAACATTCAGAATATATTCTAATTACACAATGCCTCAAATATACTTTTTCTTAGTAAAGTACTCAAGACTCATAGCTGTTGTATTGAGATACAAGGCAGAACGATGGATCATCAAAATCTGTTGCATTGAGTAATGGATACAGAATTTTAACATCATCAAAAATTATTGTACTACATTCATGTTGGGTTATGTGGCATCTAGGCAAGAAAGCATTTGACCTGAGTTAATGTACACCATCTCAAATAGTTTTTCAACTACCTTTGTATAGTCAAATGTATATATAAGAGACATCAATACCAGTTTAGGTTACTATAACAAAGCAGGAACATATTTGAAGGTAGGCACTATTCATTAAGCTTTAAAAACAGAAGCTAAAAAATAAATTCAAATAAATAAATGGATGCTTGGACTCCCTAAATTTTAATTCAATGATTCAACGAATTAGCTGTATCAATTAAGATTTTTAAACAATGTTTAGACACCATTACTAAATCTTCCCAATATAATCATAGAATTTTTCTTTTAAGTGAATTTAAAAATGTTCTTCAAAAAAATTCACACACCTTTTTAAAAAGCTGCAAACAGAACTTTAAATCTACATAAAATATATTTCAATTTCTAGAAAATCATAATGAGTTCTACAGCTATAACTGCCTCTAGTTATATACTGTGAGCATTAAAAAACTACACAAAGGTCAGATCTGTCTTCAAGATGACAGATCATCACTTATATGCCTCAAGCTAGACTTATTGTCTCAAAAATCTCAAACATCAGTATTTTTGCAAACTATCAGCACTTGCTATAACACCCTCACTACACTACATCTTGAGGTTATTACAGAAAAAATTAGGTGATAATTGCATATTAACATAATTATTCTGTAATCCCTCTGAGCAAGCTTCCTAGGTCACTCAGTAATTCAGATTAGATAAAACCTTCCTGTCATCAAATCTATGCTGTCCACTTTCTGTTCACGAACAATTCTTTTCTGATAGAAAATTAGCTTAATTTCATCTTTTATGTATATTATTAATTGTATTTACTGCAAGTAGGTTAACATTTTGTGGGTACTTATTACATAATGTCAACCTTTGTTATATAGGATAATTTCATGCAAAAATATAGTACAATTTGTCCTTATTGTGTATTAGTTCATTAATCGCTATGTTACACAGCTATAAATAAATTATAATGCTGCCCACTAGCTGAGTTATAGTTAGGATCTGTCAGGTTTTCAAAAACCCTATGTTCATTTAAATTATCCTTGAGAACACATGACAACTTCAGTTAGTAATGTATGAGATTAGGTCAAGAAGAGAAAACCATTCACAACTGTCAGTCTAACTGCAAAACAAATCTTAATTAACTGAAATAATATTTCTAAAATTACGGCAGCATTTAAACCTATATATACCATACACAATGTACAAACATATATACCTAACTCTCACCCAGTGCACAATTCAAGAGAACACAGAGTATATCATCCAGGTAGTATCTTATTCTGGATGTCACACTGAGAAGAAACACTAAAAAAAAATACAGAACGGTTATAAGGGTATCCAGCATGAGACTGACTCTAAAACTAAGCTAAATAATAAAATGATTCAGAAGGTTAGACTACTTAGTTGTGAAGAACATTACTGAAGGGAATATGGAGTTGGGGATTGAATAAGATGATTTCTAAGGTTCCTTCTAATATGTGCTATAAATGTTTAGTATTTGTTTACATAATTAACATTTAACATTATTTGAAATAATGAGCTAAAAACCAGAGAATTATACTACTGAACCTTAAAAATATTCTCTAAGTTCACAATTAGCTGAAATAATCCTTTAGTTAACTTATGATCTGTC